TTCCTCAACTCTCGCAAACCACCAGTTTTTCGTCAGGTTTTGGAGGCACGACCAACTTGGGCACCACGAGCTCAACCACGAGCGTAGCCTCTATTTCCACGATGGACTCTGATCAAACGGCGTTATCTTTTGGTGGCGCCCGACCGCCTCCACCATTTGGCGGTCAAGCATCAGTGTCTCCGTTTGGGGGCCAACCTGCTGCGTCAGCTTTTGGGGGATCGCAAAGTCAAACGGTATTCGGGGGTCAATCGACTGCGTCTCCATTCGGTGGTTCGCAAACAACTTCGTCGGGTAAATTTCAACCTTTCGTGCTGTTGAAGTTGTACCGTATTTTTCTTGTTGCGCAGATCTGAAAATTCTTTTTCTGTTCGGAGGGTGGACCAGAAAATTGTTGGCCAATATTTGAACAAAAAGATTTCCGAAAAAAGCGAATGGAAATTTTGGTTTGCTTATGCTGTGCTGTAAATTCAATTAATTTTTTGAGAACTGATTAGCGAACGATAAGTTGATTTTCAATCCGGATAAAAATACCTTCTGCAAATTATTTCAAGAAAAATTGGAGAAGTGGACAAATGTCTTTGAAGTCCCCCGAAAATTTTTTTTCTCTATTTCGAGGTAGCTAATAACCCAAAAAAGATTTTCTTGATTTAGGAAAAATTTGATATTATTCTATGCAAAAAAATTCAATTTTTCAGCTCTCGACAAATTTTCAGCATTATTTTGAAACTTTCCATTCGCCTCTGCTATTCATGTCGATTTCTTTTAGTATTATACGTACAATTCTGTCAAGATTCCAACTGAACCTCAGCAGCATCTTGCTACCACCTGACATGTACCCGTGCGGATTCAAGGTCTGCATTAATGTACTGTACTGGAATAATTTTTTTTCCTCAGGTTTTGGTGGAACCGCAGTTGGCACCCAGCCTTTCGGGGGTTCCTCTGTTTTCGGAGACCCGTCCCAGTCTTCCTCCTTCGGAACGAATCAAAGCACAACTCAACCAGCGTTCGGAGCAGCACAAACGACAATGCTCTTTGGAAAACCCGTTCCTGCGTCGCAGTCCTTGTTTGGTCAAGCGTCTAGTTCCTCTCCATTCGGATCTCAGCAACCCGTGACTGGCTTTGGTGGTAACACAGTGGCGCCGGCGCCGCAAACGTCGTCCATCTTCGGTGGTTCTTCTGGAATCCCGCAGCAGCAGCAGCCGTCAGTAGGGTTTTTTGGCGGACAGTCGAATGCTTTGTTTGGGAAAGGTTTTGCGAG